GATTCTGGGCTTCCATTTCCACAGTTTCCATCTCTCAGTCGCATCTGATTCTGTCTCAAGAAAATAAACATCTCACACAGAATTCTATTTTTTCTTCTACTTTTAAAATGCATTTACGGTATTTTCTATCAAACGTGATCGTTTTCAACACCTACATGCAACCAGGATGAATTAACAGCACCACTAACCACACACGGTGATAATAGCCCTTTCAAAGGCAGTTCACGTGCACGTGACGCCTCGAGACGAGTACAGAGGGTGTACGGTTCCACAAAGGGACGACAACATGAGCAGAATTTAGGATTTATGTCTTTTTCTTTACTTCAGAGGGTGTAGGAGCTGAATCAGAGGGTTGGAGGTGAAGCTGGTTTGGATACGTGTGGATCCAACAAACACAGCAGATTTATTTCAGCCTGGAAGCAAACTGCATCAAACAACTAAATTTTCCAATAACTGTATGGAACCAGGTTCGTCTGCACCAAAGAGGCACAACCAGTGTTAAATATCTTGTAGAGTAAAATGAGAGATATCTAAGCTGTCTTTTCTTTCTAAAAGCCTCCATGCTCAACCACAGTTAAGTTTGATGCAACCTTCTTCACCTTCTTGGCCTTCAGGTGGATCCAGAATGTTACAAAAACACACAAATTAAACTCGAATTTAAAAAGGTGCCAAAGCAAACAAGACCAGAAGTCTGATCGCAAGCAGAAACATAAATGTTTGTTTTAACGACGTAGTAAAAACACATTAAATTTATGTGGAAAACCTTCAAACTTGTTTTAATGGATGAGCTCATTATCGCCCCCTGTTGGACCACAAGGTAAAACCACATTTGTTGCCAGATAATTATTTTATGTGGTAGTTTTAGAATCTAGATGGACAATAAAAAGTTTCTTAAGAGCCCAAATATATGATAGTTTTGGCATTTCCATTCACCAAAAAAACTTTTTTTAAACTTGATCCAGAACAATCAGGCTATGCACAACACCCCCTTCGTCCTGTGTGCATGTTCACCAATCACAAAGTGCACCCTCACTTAGTGCATGTGGTCAAAATACGATCACTTTAAATTGGAACAATATATCGTCATTTCCTATCTGGCAACCGAAGTTGCCATGAACATGTTCCAGCTGTTTGGTGGATCTCCCAGCAGCAGTTCTGGATGAATCCAAAATAACATCAAATGTTTTCACCCCACCTGAAGTTCTGCACCAATCAGCCGGATCCGAATCTGACTCTAGACTTTATGAGTTTTTAGCGACTTTAAGAAACAAAACATGAAATGACACAACTGGAAACAAAGTTTTCTACGATAATAATAAAAAAACGTTTCCTCGGTTTGACGGAAAACAAACCCAAACTGTCCACGAGCCCGTCACAAAGCGGATGGTTCTGGAGCCAGCGCACAGATTCTGTTGCCTGGAGACTCTCGCAGAAACAGGAAGTCATCCATCTATGTCAGGGATATTCAACTAAACTGCTCAGGGGGCCACAGTTCCTGAGAGCCAAGAGCTCAGGGGCCGGACATCCAGCAGTTATTCTCATTAAGTTTGTTTTACGGTTTAAAATCTAGCTTTATTTAAACATGAACCCGTTGTTGGGCCGAACGGAGCTCACCCGTGGGCCTGACTGGGCCCCCGGGCCTCCAGTTGAAGAGCCCTGCTCTATATAAATATATGGTTTGTTGACATTTTGGTGTATTCTTGTCTCTACCAAACATTTGCATGCTCAACATTTGAAAGGAATGTGTTAAGTTTTTTTTTTTTTTTTTAAAACATGGCACATGAAGGAGGCCACCTCCACAGTTAAAGACACGTTTACGTCGAATAAACAAGGACTAGATGAGGCAACAACGTCACGGACAGGTAGAAAGACACACCCACTTACCGTTCACGTAAAGTACACAGACACTTCAAACGATGGTTTCTTTTTTTTAAACACTTTCTGCTTAAAGATAAAGGAGCGGTGAAGATTTACAGACTTTTCATCTGATTTTAAAAAAATCAAAAACAAACAGACAGACGCTGAATGAGTTCAGTTTTTAAGTCATTATTGCATCTAAACAATATGGCTTTTTCTAGTGAAAAGTCCTATCTGAGCTAGAAAACGAGGAGAGTGAACCCCTAAAGTTATTCTAATTACAAACTCATGGAACAATGTATTGATTACACATCGCTGCAAAACTAATCACTGAAGAGCCACCGGACCAACATGCTTCGTTTTTACCATAAATAGACCGTTGCTGATTTACAGGACGCCTATTCAGTCACGACGGGACAAATCACTACGAGAGTTTCGTCAGAGGTGAAGAACGTTTCCATCTTTTAACGGGAGTGAGACGCAGGAACTCAACGACCCGCTTCCTCGGGTTCTGGGATAACTCACCTGCAGGGTGCAAGAGAAATGACAGGAGAGCTCACCGGGACTTCTTTGGTCTTGACGTCTTTGAGCTTCAGTCGTAAAAGAACGGAGAGACGACGCGGACTCGGCTGAGACTTTTTGCATTAAAATAAACAAAGAGCGTTGTTGCCAACAGCATGGAAGAATAAAGATTTTAAAATCGGTTTAAATCAGGAGACGGTTATCTATTAAGAGCTCCGCGTAGAAGAAGCCATGGAAGGTTTGGATGGGAAAGACGTCCCCCCCGTGTCCCAAGGGTCAGAGGTTTGATTGTCTGCATGAGGACCTGTTCAGACCTGGCATGAACATCCGTCTCTGCTGGTTTGATGAAAAGCAGCGTTCACGCCTGAAACGTTTAGCGATAGGAGTGACTGGGTGGATCCATCTACTGGTCTCCTGCAGTCACTGTGTGAGCGACGGGGGACACCTGGACAGGTCTGTCCATCGCAGAGACAAATGAGACAAACGACCTAAACAACCATCCACGCTGTCACACCTAGAAGAAACTGGAGTACCTGGAGAAAACCCACGAGGAGAAACTGTAAACGCCACGCCGGGAGGTGAACCTACAACCTCTAACCACTTCACCACCGTGTCGCCACATTCAGACGCCTGAACTATAAAGACGGTTCTGAGATATTTGTTGCATTCATGTGAAGATGTCGACTTTTGGTTGAGCTTATTTATCTAACAGACACAAGAAAGGGGGAATGAAGCGGCGTACAGGGATTGGTTCCCGGAGCGGAACATAGTTCAATGTGAGCGTCACGTCACCTGCGATGGAAATACAGCGCTGCTCAGACTGTGGACCAGTTAAAGCTTACGGTGACCGCAGAGGGTCCAAAACAATCAGAACCAACGAACGATGGGCTCCATTGATCAACGCACGGCTTCAGAGTATTTACACCTCCAGATCGGTGCTGGGATGAATCTCCAAGCGGGTCGGGTCGAGCTGAAGGTTTGGCATCGGTTAGCCAGAGAGAGACATCAACCACGAGAACGTCTCCTTAACAACCAAACCCACCTTCCCTGAAACCTCACAACCGCTTTTGTTGGATTCTCTTCAATCAGCCGGCAGACAAACTGTTTTGTGTTTCTGCTCTCGAGGCATCTCATCTCTTCAGCAGGTGGTCCTGCATGGATCAGGATGGACTGTGCTTAGACCACCAGATAAAAGGGGTCCAGATCGCCTCCACCGGTGGTTTAACTACATAACTCTAGTACTGCGCCGCTCGGGGTGGCTGCATGTTGGAGCAGCTCTGTTACATTCATGCTGAGATTTTGTTTTTGAAAACTTTAATTACTCTTTTTTCTGGATGTGGATCGCTTTTTCCGGATTATTACTTCCTCTGGTATCGGATGCTGTGCAGCTGGAAGGATTTTTACTGAAACCTTGTTACTTTTGGGCATTTGTTATGTTGCATAACCATGGCAACAAGGTGTTTTTTTTTTTTTTTTTTTTAACAACCAGGAACAGCTGATTAACATTGCAAACGCCCAAATACCTCAACTACAACACCTAAATGAGTTGAAAAGGAGGCGCCGTGGATGAATTCCTGTCAACCTGACGGCGGTGCTTTAGTACGAGATCCTGGAGCTGGTGAGAAACTCGGCTCGTGACAACGGGAGGACCGGGATCCTTCCACGGCTCCTTCAATCTGTGGCGACGAGGAGCTCGGCAGACTGCTGGGAGGAGCAACCAACGCTCAGGGAGGAATTCTGCCCCGCGATCTGACAGCAAGCTGGATTCAGGTGGATGGATCGTATCTGTGGTCAGATTCTTTGAATTCGCTGCAGGAGATCCTTCCTGCCCACAGCTATCAGCATCTATAACTCTTGAACGAAACCAGGACGGTGAGCTACGACAACACTTAATTTCCCTTTGGGATTAATTAAGTATTTTTGAATTGAACTGAATGAAGATGTTTCAATGTGCAGCGAGGCCGTTCACACGCATATCTACTCGAACTCACTCAGGGGTGGATGTTAGTGCCAGATATGAACAGGATCCGCGGTTTTCAGACTTTTTAGCTTCTGACCCACAAAATAACAGCGGCAGAGACTCACAACCCCCAGTTATAGCTGGTTCAAATGCACAAACGTTAATAAGTCGGGATGTACTGCACAAAACATTTTCATCCATTTATGACCTCTGATTGTACATTTCCCAGCAATCATTAAAACATTGGCTATTAGCAATGATCTTTGTGTTTTGTAGGAAGTCTGAAGACCTCTCCCAAGACCCGCAGGTGGTCCCAGCCTCTTGGTTTGATCCAGTTAACTAAAACCCTAAGAGCTGCCTGCAAACAGTGGGGCAAAGTCAAATCATTTGTATTAGTTTCGAAAGGTGCTGTCAGATTTTTCCGAGCCTCGTAAAGTTTTATAAAATGATTGAGACTCTTTGTAGAAGCGTCGTGTGAACGATGAACCCAAAGTCCCCTCCCTGACCATCGTGACGTCAAATACATTATTCCAAAAGTGTCTCATCTGTACACGCCCGACTCTAAATTAAACCCTTATTTACACTTTGTTTGCAAGAGGAGATGATATGAAGGCACATGTCCTAAAAACTCAAACGTGGATCTACTTCTTTTGTTTGTTTGTTTTTTGTTTGTTTTTTTAAAGGAAAAAGTTCCTCAAAGTAGAAAAGGCCCAGTATGAAAACAGCATGCTGGAAAACTTAGTGGCAGTGAAGGAAGATGATTCGTGTCCGCTGTGGAACGTTAACGTCCCGTAACAGGAACCAGTCAAAACGCTTTTAAAAAATCTAAAGGAAGTAAAAAGACGGACTCGTCTGCAGGTGAAAACATTATTAGAAGGACGTTAACGATGCAATCGTTGAGGAGTAGAAAATAATAAAAGATCTCTACAAAGGCAGTGTGCAGCCCCTAACAGTTTGACATGAACCCTCACCCAGACCGGTTTCTGCTCCCCTGAAATCTAAAACCAAATCCTTCTGGCCGACAAATCCTTAAAAGAATCCCCGCGACGCCCCATGTCCCTGACCCCTGCAGCCAGAACGTACCCTGTATTCAGGGTACTTTAGATTTTTTTGTGTGGTTTTGTTTTACTTCTTGAACATGTCCTGTAAAGGTCCTGGCAGGTACTTGAGGACCGTGTCCAAGATGCTCTCTTCGTCCTCTTCCTCGTCTCCACAGCCCCTTGGGATCGCTTTCTTCGGGCGTGTCAGGGATCCCTCGCAGGCCTGCTCCATCGCCGCCTTCTCTTCCGCCTCCTTCTCCTCTTTTTTCTTCAGACCGTACTGGATGGAGGGAGGAGGAAAGGCATGATGGGAAACAGAGGAAATGAGTTGATGAGACTGAACCGTGGAGCAACTGACTCATGCAGTTCAATAAATCAAGCACAAGATGGCAGCAAAGTGCAGCAGATTGTTCTGTAACGATTGGGTCATGATAACAGGTCATGATCCTGGTTCTGGGTCCAGTTCAAAAAAGTTCAAGGCAAAAACAACTGGATTTTATTTGTAACAGAAGACGTTTCACTTCTCATCTCAATTCAAAGTGCAGGGAGTGTGGGGTTCAGGTTATAAAGCTGAGATAAGATACACACATACATATGCAGATTGACCTTTCACACCTCACAGCAGGGGTTTGTTAAACTAATTCACAGATGAGGCCCCTCTGGTCACATCTGATAGGTGTGGAACTGGCTGGGTATCAGTCCTAAAGCTGCATTATACGTTTTTGAAAGCTGAAATCTGAGGCCTCCTCCTCTGTTTAGAGATGGTTTCTCTCTTTTTACATAAATTGCTTCCTTCACGCCCCTCTCCAACTATCTGTGTTCTCGGTCCAAAATGGGAACATTTTGGTCCTCAAATGAGTCTCCCTTATCCTTGAGGTGGAGGTGAACCGCTGAGTCTTGTCCTCAGGAGGTGGTCTTGAACTTTTTTGAATTTACCATGTCCTGGATGACTGAGAATCTTCACCAGAGTACTGTTCTGGGTCATTAACGGGTTTCTGCAGAACCTTTGAATCAGCTCAAAATACATAATTAGAGATGAGCTCATGTCACACAACACGGAGAGCCCCAAGTCAACTCGTACCTACGTCATATCGTACCTCTCAGCTTTGGTCATTTCGTACCCGGACCAAAAACACATCTGCAACAGAACTCGCTTGCTGCCCCAACAGTAATTATTTAATCAAGCGGTTCCCAAAGCTGATGTAAGGACCCTAAAGTGAAGAGAGTCTACAGGTATTCATTTAATGTTGAGAAAAAAAAGACACTTTAAGCTCCTTGTTTAGATTTTAAATTCTGATGTTTGTGGACTTCAACAAACAAAAGTTGGGATCACAGCTCTCTTCCACTTGTATTTGAAGCTGTAACATTTGGGAAGCGCTGATTTAATCTACAGTTCACATTTGAACCTGTTTATTATTATTATCATCCATACTGGTGTGGTTAGACTTTTCTGAATAATCTCACAGAACAACAGAAGTTTTATTCAAATCGGGACGAAAGCTCCTAAAATAAATACATTTGTTCTGTGTTTACGCACCGAAGAACATCCCGCTGAAGAGAATTTAATGTGCTGGAGTACTTTTTGGACAATTCTCTCATTGAAATGGTTTTTGGGGTTTTTAGTACAAAGCGGTACAATTGGTCAGCAAACAAGTTGTGTTGTGGACAAGCTAAATTAGAGTTAACGGCTGTTTCTACCATAAACCTAAGAGTTGGGTTTCAGCTGCTTTTATTAAAATAAAATAGATTTCGTGGTTCTGTAATGGGATTTATTTTAAGCTGTTCAAAGTGACGACAAGTCCAAACTGTGAAGGCAGTCAATTGAAGCTAATTTGTAAACTTTTAGAAGATAGGCTGCCTGAAAATAAAGTTTTAAAACTTTTAAACCTGGACCTGAACTAATCAAAACAGCTGGAGGTAAATCAGGATTTCTGCCAGTCAGAGCACTTTGAACCTTCTTCTACTGATGCAGACAAACGTCTGGGATGAATCATGAACACTTTACCTTGTCCCTGATGGTTTGCCGTACTTTTTCCCTCTCTGCCTCCATGCGAGCGTGTTTAGCCTTCCTCTCCTCCTCCTGTTGCCTCAGCGCCTCCTGACGCTCCTCCTCCTTCTTGGCTGCGTCTGGATCCTTCTCCTCCTCCCCGCCAAGCATCTTCCCCATGTCTTTGGTGGCACCTGGAAGTTAACACCCCGAGGTCAAACAAACAGGGTTTGACTTTTTGTCTCCAAGCTGTGAGAACCTGCAGAAATTGTTTCTCTTTAAAGAATTCACTTGTTTTGTTAAAACGCTGCGTTTTCACCAAAGACGTCCAGGACGAGGAGCCAACAGGAAAAGCTTCCAGTGTTGGCCCTCTGTCCAGCCTACGTGCACACTTTTATCCTGAGCCATAACTCAAAAGCTTCGGCTTTTTGAGTCCAAACCATCAAGTTCTGATTAGAACGTAAACCGTGAAGCAAACACGTTGAAATCTGCAACAAGTTTCTTTAAGTAAAAGTTTTCTGCATTTTCTAAGAAGCTAGAAGTTATGCTCATAAATGATGGATTTAAATGTCTCGGAGAAATCTTCCTCGCTCTTCTTCTTCACCTCCTGAAGCAACAGAAGGTCTTAATCTGCGACAGGAGCTGCTTCCCTCCAGCACATCAATACTGCTGTTGTTCCCTCGCTCCGGTCGATGGTAAATACACGGCCACCTGAGAGCGTATGAATTATGGATCGTCCAGCAGAGAGAAAACTTCATCTGGGTATTGATCTGCCTCTTGGGCGCTGGGGGGGCGGAGGGCCCGGCCGGTGTTCTGGTTCTCCAGCAAACGCTTTTATGAAGGCAGATCCTGAAAACAGGCCGACTGTGTTCCACCGCTGAGACGGATCATTTCAGGAGAACCCAGACCAAAAACACAGAGAGGACTTTGAGTTTTCTGAAGAATTATTCTCTGAAAACACTGCGGACCTGTCGGACTCTGAGGAGGACCTCAGGGCAGGAACCATCTATGTAAACTGCTTAACTACTGAAATACTTCAATACTTGATGAAATGATTAAAAGGAAGGAATTGTAGTTTCTGTGAAAAACGCTGAGTGCTGATTGATTTTGCAGAAAGTTGGTCAGGAAGCTAAAACTGAGTTGTTAAAATTTTAAACAAGCTGAACTGAAGCTAAACAAGCAGAAAATGTACAACTGTGAGCTGAACAGAAGCTAAAATCATCAAAAGTGAAGCTAAAATCATGGAAAGAAGCTAAAATGAGCAGAACAAAAGCTAAAATTGTCAAAACAGAAGCAAAAATGAGCAGAACAGAAGTTAAAATAAGCAGGAGAAGGTAAAGTTATCAGAAGAGAAGCTACAATCATCAAAAGAGAAGCTAAAATGAGCAGAAAAGAAGCTAAAATCATCACAAGAGAAGCAAAAATCATCAAAAGAGAAGCTAAAATGAACGGAATGGAAGCTAAAATTGTCGGAACTGAAGCTAAAATTATCAGGAGAAGCTAAAATGAGCAGAACCGGGGCCAAATGTGTGATACAGAAGCTAAAATGAGCACGACAGAAGCTAAAGCCAGCAGAAGAGAAGCTAAAATGAGCAGAACAGCGACATATGAGCAATACAGAAGCTAAAACGAGCAAAGTGAAGTTAAAATAGCAGTAAATAAGCTGAAATGAGCAAAGCACAAGCTAAAACAAGAAGAAGTTAAGTTAAAATAATCAGAACACAAGGTAAAACGAGCAGAACAGAAGCTAAAATCATCACAAGAGAAGCTAAAATGAGCAGAACAGCGACATATGAGCAATACAGAAGCTAAAGTGAGCCGACGTGAAGCTAAAATGAGCAAAACACAAGCTAAAACAAGCAGAAGTGAAGTTAAAATGAGCAGAACACAAGGTAAAACGAGCAGAACAGAAGCTAAAATCATCAGAACAGAAGATAAAATTATCAGAAGAGAAGCTGAAATCAGCAAAACAGTGACTAAATGAGCAATACAAAAGCTAAAATGAGCAAAGTGAAGTTAAAAAGAGCAGTAAATAAGCTAAAATGAGCAAAACACAAGCTAAAACAAGAAGAAGTGAAGTTAAAATGAGCAGAACACAAGGTAAGACGGCAGAACAGAAGCTAAAATCATCACAAGAGAATCTAAAATGAGCAGAACAGCGACTAAATGAGCAATACAGAAGCTAAAACAAGCAGAAGTGAAGTTAAAATGAGCAGAACACAAGGTAAAATCATCAAAAGAGAAGCTAAAATGAGCAGAACAGCGACTAAATGAGCAACACAGAAGCTAAAATGAGCAGACGTGAAGCTAAAATGACCAAAACACAAGCTAAAACAATCAATCAATCAATCAATCAATCAACCTTTATTTAGACAGGTAAATCCCATTGAGCCTCGAGGACTCATTTACAAGAGAGACCTGATTTCAACAAAGAAAGATGACAACAATGGACAACAGCAACAACAATAAACAGTTATAAAAAGTCATACTGCAGGTTTTTTTAATTTATTTTAATTTTTATTTATTTTTTTATTTTATTTTATTTTTTTTTACAAATAGGATGGCTAAAAGGAAAAGGTAACAAAACAAACAAACAAACAAAAAAACAGCTAGATTCTAAGGCGAATGTAGAAAACTAAACAAGCAGAAGTGAAGTTAAAATGAGCAGAACACTAGGTAAAACGAGCAGAACAGAAGCTAAAATCATCAGAACAGAAGCTAAAATTATCAGAGGAGAAGCTAAAATGAGCAGAACCGAGGCCAAATGAGTGACACAGAAGGTCAAATGAGCACAACAGAAGCTAAAACCAACTGAAGAGAAGCTAAAATGAACAGAACAAAAGCTATAATTAGATTTTTTTTATACATTGATTGGCACCTACTTTGTATTTTAAATGAGGCTGACTCCAAATGTTTATAGGTTGTACACTTTCATCTAATGACGACTTTCTGAGCGTTTCATTAAAATCCATCAGAATCCTAAATGTACCGACTGTAGACCACATGAGCCAACTCAGAATAAATTACGTGGCTTCAAGGACGCCGGTTCCCCCTGTGGTCTGGGAGCCGAAGGCTGGCAGGTCCCGTGGTTCTGCAGCAGAGCCATGCAGAGGCCCTAATGGCCCCACGGCGCAGTGTGGTGGCAGAAGACCTGAGGATGATAAATTAGCACTCAGCTGGAGGGGGCGGTTAAGGCCGTGAAGTGTTCCCTCTGACTCACCGGGGAGCCGGGTTAAGGTCAGGCTGTGTGGCGTGTCGGTTCCTCGATGTGTCGAAACACTCAGACACACAACAGATGTATCTGAATCCGTGCATCAGTTGCTGGAAACAAAAGCTTCGGCGTCTTCATCGTTTGTTTGTTTAAAACAATCACATTTCAAAATATTTATTTACTACCTTGTTGCAAACTACTGCAGAATACTTTATGCTATTTTAGCTGTTTGTGCATCAAAATGTTCGGCTCATTCAGGAGTTGGGTGTAATACCTTTTGTTTCTTTGCAGCTTTAAAATGTTTCTAAATACTTTATTTACAAACATTTTCTCCATGGAAATACAACAAAATCCTTTCAATTCCTTTAAAAACGTTATTTTTAAAATCTGCTCTGGTTTAGTTTTCATATGCTACTTTGAGCTTTTAGCTAGTATTTTCCAACTCAGTTTGAGCTCCATCAGCAGATTTCAGCAGTCATTCGGCTCTCGCACTGTACCAAGTCAAAGATATACCGTATTTTCTGCCGTACGTACGCATCACACCGCCCTATAAGTCGCATCTGTCCAAATATGTATAGTAAAGTGGAAAATTCCATAAATATGTCGCTTCCCCGCATACGTCGCATCTATTATGTGTCACAGCTGACGTGTCACGTTTGCTACGCGTCACCGCTGACAACCCAGAAATGTGGGCCGGTGTTGTGCCAAAAGTCGATGGCGGCCGCGAGAGCATACACGGGAGGACTTTAACAAGAATTTAACGAGATTAACACTTAAAAACAATTATCCGTCCACCTCCTCCTGTCCTCGGTCCTGTTCGTTTCTCTCTCCAGGTCTAGCTTTAGATTCCCAAAATGTTTTACGTTTTACTCAACAAACCGTTTTCCAGACATGAAAGACATCATGAAGGAAATCTGTTGATAGATCAGCCATCACAAAACAATTTCTGTAGAACTGACTGAGTTTTAGCCATTTCCTCTAAAGTCACCAGGAAGTGTCGGCCATCTTGAATCATCTTAAATCAAAAGTGAAGCAGTTGCAGATTAATGGTTTGAAAGTTTCAGTAAATATGATATAATTTGGTCACACACACAAACAAAGATGGCAAAAAACACATGACAAATCTGTCCGGACCTATTTTTTACACGTGTTTTAATTCAGAACAGGAGCTCCATTGTTCCTCTGTTGTTGCTGAAGATGAAGGTCTGGATCTCAGCAGCATCTCTGCCTCGGTCCTGACGTCAACATCCTGCGTTTCCTTCCCTCCACAGGAAATCAAACCTGTGAGATTCTCACTGTTCCTCATAAAGAAGCTCATCTTAAAGATAATCTCTGCAGTGAGGCCGGACCGGACCGGGCCGGGTCAGACCTTCCCCTGATTCATTTCCTGCTCGGGTTGTTTATTGGAGATCCGCTCGGTGCTGCTCCCTGGCACTTCAGCAGGTTTGGGTTCCAGCCTCTCCGGTGACTGATGAGGGCGGTATTTGTAGACGAAAGTGATCTATTATTTAAATGAGTCCAATTCTTCAAACCCGTCCAGCCGAGAAGCGGCGCCGCCACCCGTACGACAGCTGAAAGCAGCGATTCATCTCCTCAATCTTAACTCCCTCCGTTTTACTCCAAACATCTCCACGTTCTCTGGGGTTCTAACGTCTCAGTTTCATTATCGCCCGCCACCAAGAGGCAAAAACAGATGATGGTGTTTTTACCTGTGCATCTGTCTGTTAGCATAATATCTCCTAATCTGGGCAAATTTTATTAAAACGTTCAGAAGTAAACCAACTTTTTAAGTTGACCTGTTCAAGATGGCTGCCACAGTCAACTGACCTTAAGACGCACAATAAACGACCTTAGCAAGCGGCTTTAACGCTGTCAGTTTTACACATATTAACCTATAATGTGCATGGTAGTAGCTGAGAGTCATCCCCATGCTTTTCTCAGTACTTTCTACAAGTTTCATATAAATATATCTGGTGATTTAAGAGATATTTTGCTAACAGACAAGCACGTGAACACACACACTGAGATCTGGGCAAAAACATTCTCTATGTTTTCGGTTGTAGGCAATAAAAAAATCTTTTGGTATTTATTTAGCTTTGCAAAACTATAAATATATTTAAATCTAGTATGAAACCGTTTCCTTCGGTGCTCCAGACTCAACCTGACGGAAGAAAAACTAAAGAAAAACAAAAAGTGAGAGAATAAAGCAGGGACGAGTGGGTCGATGGACGGGGAGGAGGAGAGATGAAAAAGGGCAGCTGACAGAACCCGAGCGATGAAGAGGAGGGTGAAATAACGAGTTCTGGGAGGAAGACGAAGGGCAGGCCGCGCTGGAGAGGAATAAATCTCATTTCACCGTGGCTGCTGGTCACTGAGCTGATGAAACTAGATGAGAGGATGATTTAAAGAGGCGCGACCTCTGAGGCCCCGGGGCCCCGGACTTACAGGAAGACTTAGGAAGCCGACGTTTTTATGTTGCTCTTAGCGATCCGAGCCGAGGAGACGCGGAGACGGCAGGGTGGAGTTCCCAGACATAAAGTTTACTCTGAAAACCTAAGTGAGGCAAATAGAAACTGCATTTTCTTCAAAAAAATAAAGTGAATGCTGAATGACGTCACTGAAATCTGATGAAAAAGATGAAACTGAGTTGAAACCTAAATGTAGCTAAATGCTAAAAGCTACAACTAGCAAGACACTAGCTAAATTTAGCAAACTGCTAACTAAATCTGTACGTAGCAAAGAGTTGGAGAGAGATCTCAGTCTATTTTGAGATTTTTTTTGTAAATAAAGTTAAATATTTTGAGAAGTAGAAAAGTTACAAAAGTCATACGACCTATTTCCTGAACGAGCGGAACATTTTGTGTCAAACCGAATCAATCGCTTTGGACAAAAATATAAAAAGCACCACAATATGTTTTGTAATCCAGAGCCTGTTTAAGATTATTTCAAACTTTAAGAAGTGTTGTAACGGTGCTGTTTTCTAAAATCTGACTGAAATGGCGATAAAATGTTAATCAACTCTAAAAAGTCTGGAGTCAAACTCAGGAACTAAACGAGGCCAAAATTCAAACCTTGGTCCAAGACACAGGCCAACGTCGGTCGATGCATTAACTCAAGTCAGACAGACGACATCTTTTCGTGGTTGCAGGTTCGACAACAAGAGTTTGATCGGCCTCATTTGACGTTCTCTGCTGCTCTTTCAACATCAAAATCAAAGAATTACTGAAAAATCTAACTAAAACGTTGACACTAAGTGATTTATCTTTTTTTTAAAGCAGGATGAGAAGCGTTGAAAAATATTTTACATTAAAATATCATCTTGTGGGGCCAAATAAAATGTTAACGATACAATAGCTTTTAAGTATAAAAAAAGTTACAAAATGAAAAGGACCCCATTTCCTGAACATTTTGGTGTAGAGCGATTAAATCAGCCGCATGTGGAAGTGGTTAGATGTAAAAAAAATATATATATATGTTCAGGAACAAAAAACAGGGAAACAATGATGTGATCAGGTCCGACTTATCTCCAACGGCTGGATAGAAATGAGAGAATAAAATTGACACCACCAGGTGTGTTAATGGATCTCCATCTACCGCTCAAAGTAAAGACGCTTCTTCATACAACTGTATTTATGTGAAACATTCAATGTGGTTGATGGTATTGGGATCTCTCTGAAAACCAACGCAAACCCACATCCATTTGGTAAATAATTTCCAGAGGAACCAGCAGATTACTCCTCAGAGTTCTGGTTCTGAGGAACTCGTTCCCAACAACAATGATCTTGTTGGGGCCACGATGGGGCAGAGGCAGGGCAGCTGACTCAGGACCCAAAAGTCCCAGGCTCAATCCCCAGCCATTATCCCCATTTGCTCCCTGGGCGCCTATAGCTGCCCACTGCCCCACCTGGGTGTGTGCAATGGGTTAAATGCAGAGAACCAATTTCACCGTTGTATGGGAACATGCAATGATGACAACACATAGTTCTTATCTTATCTTACTTACCACCTAAAGCTTGCTTCATTACAAAATCCATGATTCCTTCTGCCGGGTATGGTTCTTCTTCTTAAAGCCAAAGACAGCTGAGCATGTAGCCACCAAGTCTGGAGACGGCTCGTTCCTTTTGGTTCCCCCCAAAACCCTTGGTCGGTACGTTCGTCAACTCTGCAGGACAAGAGGAAATGACCACATCAAGATTACACAGTAATTATAGCTGTAAACCTTTGGCCAGTGTTATGGAAGGTACAATTTTACCTTTGTTTTCTTAATAAAGACTCCAAATGCATCATTGATCCCCAACATACCAAGCATTAGAGCGACAATGAAATGTCTGCAACATTCATTACCTCGGTGACTAAGACCCACGTCTGGAAGGATGAGGATCAATACGCAGGCGGAGTTTATTTATGGCATTAATACGACCAGACGTGTCATCTTTGACTCAAAGTTGGTCATGAATACTTATGGAAAAATTTAAAAAGTGCTTTGTTTTTTTTTTTATCTGGACTCATGTAAACAACCCAACAAACAGGAAAATCAACTTGTAACCTCAAACAGCACCAACCAAAGATTACATTTTCCATATTTATTACACCTGGAGAACCAGAACAGGGTCTTTGCTCTGAATTAGACCCCTCTCGCTCCCATCCCATTTTCATTTTTGCTTCATCGGAGCTGAAAGGAGCTGGGCTGAAATGGGACGGGACGATCCATTTTTAACCGAGCGCTTCAGGGGAGGAGCAGCCTGGTTTTTATCCACATGAGCACGTTTCTCTTGTCCAGACAGAAGATTTGAGTAAAGTTACAGCAAATGTACACCGACGCCAGGGGAACGATAAAGATTTGACCTTGTCTGGGAGAAAGCAGGCCATCGTTTGGCATGTGTCGTTACAAAAACATAAATTGGGACGATTAAAGTTTGAGTTAACACAAAGGCATCAATTAGCAGCAGAAAAGACAGACTCCACCAGTCGGCAGAGGTTAGACCTGTATGCTACCGATCTGGTCAAAGATTAGCCGGTGCCGTCAAAAGCATAATTACTCATGTAACGTACAACTGTTTGGACTGTTTGGCCAGACTTTAGCATGGAGTAGCTATAATGACTAGCATCTAAGGCTAATGTAAACTATTTTAGATATTCTATTGACAGCATATTAGCACGGCAATGCTAACAACTAGCATATCAAAGCTGTAAACTTGCTGGATCGAACATGTCCTGAGATGGACATTAGTGTATGATGGCAACTAGAAATCCAAGCGTGAGCTCCAGCTAAATCAAAAATCATTTATCAAAAGTAATTATGAAGAAATAATATTGCAGGGAAATCTCAAGACTAAAAGTCTAAGTGCTATGTGTTGTCATCGTTGCATGTTCCCATACAATGGCAAAATTAGTTCATTTAACCCATCGCACCGGGGATACACCCAGGTGGCGCAGTGGGCAGCTATGCAAGCACCCAGGGAGCAATTAGGGATTAGGTGTCTAGCTCAAAGACACCACAACTTGTGGGAATGGCTGGGTATTGAGCCTGGGACTTTCGGGTCCTGGGTTGACTGCCCTGCCTCTACCCCGTCTCGGCCCCAAACTATCAAACCGAATTGAATCAAGTCTAATTGAAAACTTTAATTCCTCTTTTTCTGGATGTGAATCGCTTTTTTCGGATAATTATTTCCTCTGGTATCGGATGCTGGAAGGATTTTTACCAAAACCTTTTTACATTTGAGCATGATGTGTAACAATGGCAGCAAGTTTTTTTTTTTTTAACAACCAGGAGCGTTGATTAACATCTCAGAAGATCAAAAACCTCAGCTACAGCCCCAAATATCAAATGAGTTGAAAAGGAGGCATCGTGGACGAATTCCCGTCAACCTGGTGGCTGTGCTTTAGTATCTGACCACCGAGATCCTGGAGCTGGTGAGAAACTCAGCTCGTGACAACAGGAGGACTGGGATCATCTCCCAACGTCTATCCGTGGTGACGAGGAGCTCGGCAGACTGCTGGGAGGAGTGACCATCGCTCAGGGAGGAGTTCTACCTGGAATTCGGGCAGTTCTGCTGTCCAGGATAACCAAGAGGCCCGCCGGATCTGACAGCAAACTGGATCCAGGTGGATGGATTGGTATCTGTGGCCAGATTCTTTGGATTCACTGCAGGAGATCCTTCCTGCCCACAGCTATCAGCATCTATAACAACTCTAGAATGAAACCAGGATGATGAGCTACGACAAGACTTAATTTCCCTTTGGGACTAATAAAGTATTTTTGAATTGAATTGAATTGAATCAAGGCATTCTGCTTCAAAATGTCCTGCCCACATTATTTGTTTTATTTATATCTGTGTGTGTCCTGTACTTGGTATGTCAACATTTCACTTTCCCTGTGGTTATTTATTCATCCATGATTTATTAAAACTATATGTTCTACAAGAATATAGCACCAACACCCAACGTTCATCCATTTATCTTCCTCTGCTCATCTGGTTGTAGAGATAACAGGTCAAGAAGGCAAAACTGGACCTCCCTCTCCCCAGTAACACTCTTCACGTCCCCCTGGAGGTTCCTGAGATGTTCCCAGACCAGAGGAGATATATAATCCTTTCAGAAAGTTCTGGGTACAAAACCTCAGAAGGGAGAGGACCAGGAGGCATTCTAACCAGATGTCTGAACCACCTTTCAATATGGAGGAGCTCTGCACTCCTCCTGGTTGATGGAGCTCCTCACCTCATCTCTGAGGCTTTAGATTTTGGCTCAGCTCCTTCCTCACCATGACAGACCGGAGCAACGCCCTCACTACTGCAGACAAGACCACAATTTGTTAATTCATCTCCTGCTGGAAAGCACAGTTTCTTGATCCTCCAGAGCAATCTGTGAGCAGCAACGTGTTTCAGGACATCTTGTGTCGTCCGACCAGCTGCACGCAGAGAGGACGTTTTTAATTCATTTATTTTCAGCTTGTTTGTGTTTTGGCCTGTGGGGACGTGGGGGTCTGGCGTTTCTTATCGCCGCAGAAACAGACTTGAGGACTCTAATAGAATAAAGGACAGATCCTGCTGTTAGACAAGATCATCTGAAAGAAAAGGGCACACGCGCATGGAGAGACATCCGTGAATCAAGAACATTCAGTTTGTGTCATCAGTGCTTGGAAATGTTTGGTCATCTGTTTTTATCCATCCTAAATGAAACATCCCTGGTCAAGATTCCAGTTTGTTTTGTTGTTTTGCAAGTCATAGTTTTTGTCTCTTTTACATGATTTTGTTCTTTCTCACTCATTTTTATTGCAGGATTCAGTCCAGTCCAGCTGGTAATTAGACATCAACCCATTAAGGACTGATGTAATGTGTTTGCTGGTATAAATCCAGTTTCAGATTGATTTTAAATCCTGTTTGTGGTCTTCGAGGACAGGATTTCAAGGCGTTGCAAGAAGGGTGTTTGGTTTGGGAACCTCAGGGCCTTGTTTCTGCTTGCTGCAGGCGATATGGTTCTGTTGGCACCTTCACCTTCAGCGGGCAGTTTGCATTCGGGAAGAAAGTCAGCTCTTCTAGTCTGAGGTTCTCACTCGGTTAGGTTAGGAACCGTAGATCCAACCATGAATGCTCCCTCTGCAAGAATAATTCAACTCAGTCTCTAATCTCCGCTTCTCTTTAACAGAGACCGTCCACCTGAGAAGAACAGGAACATTTCCTGTCTGTTATCAAGCGCAGTGTCGCTGTCTGCCTGCAGTTACCTCCTCCTCCTCCTCCTCCTCAGACACCAGAGAACTGAACGGCGGCTCGTTGTGTAAGAGCTCATCGGTGGGCGGTTTGCATGGAGCAGCTCTCCATCTTACTGAACGTTTTGGTTCTGGTGATACTGGAGGAGCTTTAAAACCCTTACATAACCCTCTCCTTTATAAACTGGAGCCAAATATACCATACGATCACCAGAGGGCAAGCCTCCCTCGCATCATCTCACCCCTTCTTTCCCCTCGCGCTGCTCTTTCTTGTCCCTCTTCTTAATTTTAGTTATTATTTTATAATCCAGGCGCTGGCATCGGTGCATGGCGCGGGATAATGTTATCAGGACCAGGCAGGAAGGCTCACTGATCCTGCACCTTTAATTGGAAGTTTTTACAGCTGAAGATAGAGATGGAAGCAGATCGGAGGAACAAAACACAAATCAGTCTTCTGAACGTGTTTGTGGCAAACAAGAAAAATAAAATGACACAAATGAAAGAATAAACCGCTTTCTTTGTAAAGTGATGTTTCATTACTGCAGCCAGGCCGGCGTGGATGGACCCAGTGGATGGAGTTAACTGAAACTCTTCAAAAGTAATTTATAGCAGTACATTAAACAGCAGGTAAGTATGCAGGTACAAAACTGGTATAAGTATATCCATCATGTAAATAATTAACAAAAGAAGCGCCAATATGTACTTGGTATGTAGCTGGTAAATATCAGTTCAGTATAAGATTTGTACAAGGTGAGGAAAATACTTAGTAATTATCAGGTACCTGTCACTTCCTGGTAATTACCTGTTTATTATAAGGTAATTATGTAGAGAAGTATGCAGTTATGTACCTGGTATGTAACTTGTACGTATCAGTATGGTATCAGGTAAGTACTAGGTAATTATCAGGTACGCAAGTACCAAAAACATATTAGGTACGTATCAGGTACATCATTAACTTCAAGCAGACGTTCCCACTGGTTCATTTTCATCTTTAAATCACTTCTTGGTCTTCTGTCTTCATACATCTCCTCCTACATGTCTCTGCATGAGTGCAGCTACAGCGTGCGCTCTCAGGACATTATTACCTGCAGTGTCCCCTCAGTGCGGACTGAACTGAACAAAAGGGTCTTCTCCTGCTCCGCTCCTGTTTCCTGGAATATCTTACAAAAAGATCTGAAGCTCTCGACCTTGACCTCTCTAAGTGGCTTCAAACATCTGCTAAGTTCATGGGAAAAACCAACGCAGACATGTTCCTGTTTTTAGTTTTCTACATCGACTTACAATATAGCTATTTTTTTTGTTACATTTTTTAAATACCATTTTATTTTCACTTGTTGTTCTTAATTCGTATGTATCTTTTATGATTGACTATCGTTGTCTTTGTTGTTCCACTGTTGTCATCACTCTTTGTTAAAACCAGGTCTCTCTTATAAATGAGTCCCCGAGGCTCAATGGGA